ATGACACAAAGTATATCAATTTGAAATAAGGCAACATACTTTATATAAAATTAGCTATTATCCAAACAAACCCTTAATTGGTAACATTCTATTATAGGGTTATAAGCGTATGGAATAAATTACAAAGAATAATTTAATAGTAACAACAAATTTAGTGAAGCTTTTCTTAGTTTATAGAATGTATATAAACATCCGTTTGCATTTGATTGTGAAGTGATATTTTCAAGAATATAGCACCAAACGCCTAGTTAGAGCCCCCTTCTATAGTTTGTCATGTATAGACATACAACCTCCATTCATGTCCCTTAGGCTTTGAGCAATATAGTCTATTCAACCATTTAAAGTTGAGTGAATTGATTTGTCATATATTATTGAGAAATGATTATATAAGACGCTCTCCTATTTATGTGTGTAGGACCTTGTGTACGACCTCTAAAAGGATCACCATTAAAGTTGATATAAATCTCTAAAAAAGTCAAGTCTCACACATAATTTTTCTAAAGATCCGTGCCAACTTTAATGGTCCTACATATGTGGATGGGGGAGGGTCCTATAAGATCATTACTCTATATTATTTCTTCCATCATGCAAGAATTTCATTAAATTAATTCATCTTGCTTCTTATGTAGAAGCATATAGACGAATTTCGCAAGGACCTCCGGCCTTTTCCAGAAGGAGCTATATCCATAATCATTGGTGATGATATTATATGATAATCTTAAAAACATTACATTTAGAATAGGGATAGCTTTCTATGTTTCCCCTACAACATAGAAGTTCTATACTCGCCCTTATCCAACCAACCATTTTTTAATGGAGGGCTAAGAATGCCCCAATCACAATGTCATGTCTCTATACTATTTTATTTTTAATTTTTTTTCTATAAACTATTTTGACACCAAATTTTGGATGTCCATTCATCTATTAAACTCGTACTAACAAAATATATATATAAAAAAATATTTTCAATAAAATAAAATGATCAAAATATCCCTGATTGGTCATTGTTTTTTATCGAAAAAATATTGCTAATACTTTTTAGAGGTGCGCCCCAATGAGAAGATGGCACGTGCCAAATTTCATATTCATAAAAACTTTGTATTAAAAAAAACTAAAAATAAAATACTTTGAGACGTCGGATCTAAGATCAAACAGTGAGTGGCTCTCTTGATAAAAAATGGGCGACCGGATGATAAAGGAAGGATATAACTTCTATATTATAGGGGGAACATAGAAAGCTTTCCCTTTTGAATATTGATGCCAAAATTTGTATTAAAGTTACTAAAATCCTCTTCGCTAATGATTAATGAGTGAATTTGTTTTTGGGGTGCAGTTGTATAAGGTTGTAATACGCTATACCCTCTATTATTTGGACGGTGTTTAAAAGGGGAATGATCCGGTCTATTATAGATATAAATGGCCATAATGTATCTAAATTTTGGGCTAACTCTTACCCGCCTTTCCTATCGCACGCTTACTTTCTCTTAAGAATTTACAGAGGGAGAAATCATTTGCAGCAGAAAGATACTCCTTTAATGTTAGAGAGAGGAACAAATTTCAGCTTTAAAGAGAAAGAGAAGAAACGTTGGAAAAAGATAAAAAGTGAAAGTGAACAAAGCCATATGCAACAGAAGATAGAGAACTCGAGAACTCGTATATAAAATAGAGAAATGATCCAATGCAAAGAACATATTCTTCCTTTATAATATAAGAGAGAAAAGAACTTATTACAAGATTTTTTTTTTTTTTTATTGTTGGAGGGAGAGGGGAGGTAAAAGGTAGTTTTTAAAAGAATGGATAAAAATACTCCAATACATCATATATAACCATGTATTTCTCTATGAGAGAGAATGTTGAAAGGAGAGAGAGGGGAGGTAAAAGGTATTTTTTAAAAGAATGGATAAAAATACTCCAATACATCATATAACCCTGTATCTAAAATGCACATGAACATGTTTTCTTTTAAAATGGGAGGTAAAAGGTATTTTTTAAAAGAATAGATAAAAATACACCAATACATCATATAACCATGTATCTAAAATGCACATGATCTTTCTTTCTTTTAAAATAGTGTTCAATCTTCACTATCCAACTAAAATAAATGGTGTAAATTACTTCTTTATTTTTATAAATAAAATTATAATTTTATATACATATTTTTTTTTCTTTCTTTTTTAATGATTCCAAAGAGGAAAATGTTGAATTGGTCAACTTAAACTTTGCTCCTTGAGTTACTTTTCCATTTTTGGACTTTTATTCTTTTATTTTATCGTTTGAAAGTGTCCTTGAGACATTTGGACTATCTTTTTTAATTTTTCACTTCACTTTCTTGAGGCAAGCTGAATGCCTATAATGTACAATTTCATGAAACAAGTAGAATTTTTGTGTTTTGCATGTTTATGAGGCATATTCAACTTTCTCCTAATCCTCTATGAATCATCGTCTTAATCTTGTGAAATGTATGATTTGATAATTTATGAAGCAAGCATAATGATCTTTTCATTTTTTATGTTGTTCTAGTTACCAGTGTTCGTAAAATTGAACCGGAACGGTTAACTGATCAAGGGGTTGGGAGCGGTTTGAACTGGAATCAGACTAACTGGGGTGGTTAACTGGACTAACCGGTCAAGTAGATTGTTTTTAACAAAAACGGTCAAAAACCTCCAAAAAAAAAAAAACTTAGACTAAGTGTATACTATCATATTACATACATTTATCTTTCAAAAAAAAAAAATTGAAACAATTTTTTATATAAATTAATATTTAAATACTATGAAGATATGCAAGACAAATTATAATTTGACATTAATTCAACTAATGAAGTTATAAAATCCAACTAACAATTGCTAGTAGTAATGAGAGTGGCAAGGGGGATCATGGTACTGTTGTGTTTCACTATCAAGGTTTACGAAACGAAAAATCTGAGTAAGGCCTGGTGGAGTCTGTAATGCCACAGTTGTACCCCCTCTCCAGCCAGGAACATTTTACGTGGTACCCTCTTAGCTAAAGTCACCTAGACTCATCCAGCCTTCGTGCTCTCCCTCAGCTTGTTCTGTGTTACCCCCACCCTGTCCTATGCTATGGCGCACAACAGCTGCAATATTATCATCATCATAAATAACCAGGTTACGGTAACGGCTACGGCTTCGTCTCTCCCTTGTCGAGTAACTGTTATGCCTCGATGCTTGGACTTCCTCCCGAGTCAATCTCATTAAATCTTTCTGTTCATTAGGCACCACATCATGTTGCGCCCCTTCACATTCCTGAATGACTGGATCTTGCCAATTGTTTTCCATTATCCCATCTGTCTCTTCATCATCTTGTGCCTCATCTTCATCCTGTGTATAATCGTCATCCACGTTCATGGCTATGTCTCCTTCATTGGATGCTGCAACATCTATATTATCATCTATATCGGCAACTGCCCCACTAAGAAAATCTCGGTCTAGTAGTGGGGTCCTCAGTGATACCCACTCATCGGCGACGTCCCTCCAAAAGATGTAATCAAGGTTGAACGGCGTGTAGTCTGTGGGGGTCCTCCTTATATGTCTCTCTCTCAATTTCAAATTATAATGAACATACACTAAGTTGTGCAGTGTCTGAGTCTTTAACCTATTCCGCCTCGGGACGTGTATCCACTGAAATGTACTCCAGTTCTCTCACATCCCGATGAAGCACATGTTTAACTCAAAATTCTAATTGCAATCTTTTGCAATTACTTTGTTCAAATTTCGTGTATGGTTCAACATTGTGCCCACACAGGCAAACATAGAAATACTTAACAATAGAAAATAAATTGATTTAAAAAAAACCAGAAATAGTATTGTATTAAACTACTGCAAGTTTTAACTTAAAACTAACCTGGGTGCAATTTTCCAGTTGTTTTTTTGGCATTGTTGTATGCAAATTCCCCATTTTTTTCCATGCACATGATAAGCTAAAAATAACAAGATGCATATATAAGGTTGGCACCGTAGGATTATGGTGCATATCTGAAATCATATAAAAATGTTGTTTTGACATTGACAAAATATCAAATTGATCATCTCGACATCGAGATGTATGGATACGGAGAAAAAAAACGATTTCAAGTTCTAAAAATAATACATCTTGTAACATATTTACTAGACCGTCTATTTTTAAGATTTTCATGCGTTTATAGATCGACTTGATTTGGACTACTTTTTTAGTTTAAAATGTTACAATTAGAGATAAAAGGCTTGGACAGCCAGCGAAAGAGTGTTGGTTCGAGTCCTGAGAGTGGTCACTTTGTGCATAAAAAGCCTAAGGTTATGATTGTTTCCCACTCACTCGCTCTTGGGACCCTGTGTAGGCGGGACCATCATTGGGTTACAACCCTCTTTTAGATAAAAATATATTCTTAGACCATCCTAAGAATTTTCAACAACAAAAATATATTTCATGATAAAGTTTGGAGTTGCACCTTACTTTGATTGTTTAAGGTTGCAACTTTTTACAAACTACACCCTTTATTATTTACATAATGTAACTTTATTCTTATTTATTTCACAATAATCTTGTGACAAACAATGGCTACTAGAAAGTCCTATGTAGTCCACATTCAAAATCGGAAATATGACTTGTTGACTAAGTTATGATCCTATAAAATATGGGATTGACATGGATAGATATTTTCTCTTATCTCTTACTTGAAAGATATAGAAAATACCCACTTTTAAGGAGGTTATGGGATACTCTTTCCATATTGTTATTTTTCTCATTGACCCATTATAAAAGCAATCACATTAGGGGTTTTTGGTTGCTCTTGGAGTTTTAACCAAAGCTACATTTCTTGGGCCATTTTTTGGCATGCATCACGCTTGGGCCATTTTTGGCGTGCAACTCTCTTGGGCCATTTCTTTGGGTGGACTCTTCTTGTTGTACCAGATATATAAGAAGTCTTCTTTTGAAGAGAAAAAGAAGAAAAAGAAAGAAAATATTATTCTTCTCTTAGAGAGAAGAAGAAGAGAGAATGTTATCATTCTTTGAGAGAGAGAAGAAGAACAGAGAGAGTTACCCTTGTTCTTAGAGAGATGAAGAAGATAAAATAGAGTTAGTGATCATCTTCTTAAGTCTTTTCTTTGTAGAGAGAGAAGAGAAGAAAAATGAGAGAAAGAGATAATATTTTCTTTTAGAGAGAGAGAAGCCTCAAGAAAAGAAGTCTCTGACAGATAAAAGAACCTCAGAGAAGAAAACTTATAGAGAGAAGTCTCTAGAAAAAATCAGTGATCCTAAAAAAGTTTGTTTCTTGGAAGAGTTAATAGTTGATTTGACTCTTTCTTTGGTGGATGTTTTCTGAAAATATGAACTATGTAAACTATAGGTGCCAGTAAGTTATTTTTTTTATTTACATGTTTTTCCCACTCATACACACACACATCGACTTTAACATATTTTTGTATCTCATATATCCGCATTCCGCTGAGCGCATCTGCATTCGTTCGATAGGGCTCTAATTGGGTGAGCCCAACAAGTGGTATCAAAGCAAGGTTCCCTGGCCATAACCTACTTCTGAGCATATACTCACCACAGGGACAAGGTTTAGTGGCTCGCTATTAATCCTGATCTTTGATCATAGTCATTGCTCCTGGCCTCTGCCCTGACTTTGGCTTTTGATTGATTGGCCTTTAGGAATTGTTTTGGGACATGTCGTTAGTCAATACTGTCAATGAGTGCCCACTGTGCAAAGAATGTCTTGACCGATAGACCATTAGTCATCACCTTGACAAACAATGAATTGCCATTGTGCAATGAAAGTATTGACTAATGGACCGTCAGTAACCACCTTGATCAATAGTGAAACACTTTAACCGTTGGTTGACTGATGGTGGCACCCTAACCGATGGTGGATAGCAAATCGATGGGCGATAGCTAACCGACGGGTGATAGTTATCCTACGGCAATAGCTTAACCGAGAGGGGATAGCTTAACCGATGGGGGATTGCTCTGCCAATAAGCAAGGGGACATAGTCCTAATCTATGAATTACAGGTTTTCCCCTAGAGACAAACACATGGTCACCAAGATCAGATGCAACCGCAACTCTATGGTGCGTATGGGTAATCTCTCGTACATGTGCTTGTTGTTCAGTGATTAGGCTTTGGCCATCGTCTCTAGAGGCCAACCATCACACACAATGGTCACATAGTTCATTGGCTCACTCTCCTCGATAACTCTGACCTCTTTAAGGGATAACCTATAAACCCTCTTCGATTTTATTTTATGTCAAGGTAATTAAGGGTTTTCAACTTGACTAGCTTAGCTCGTCAAGCCAAGTCTGAGTATTGGCAAATAGCATTTGCCTATCTCGATCCATCTGGACTATAATCTCGTAATCACTCAGAACCATAACTTCTTGGTCCCTCAGGACCATACTCCTGTTGGAGTTCTTTGATCCGCTGTATTAGATATTGATTACATGCTCTCATAAAGCCTTTAATGGCCACATAAACCTTGACAAACAATCCAAAGAGAATCATCGGCGAAGCATCTCATCAAATTCAGAGCCCCAATAAAACCCCAAAGTAAACAAGGAAAAGAACAAAATAAGATGTTGTATTTTCCCCTCTCTACCCCTACAAACCTTCCAAAAGTTAGAGCAAACGCCCAAGCTCCTCTTCCATGGGCATGGTGCCTCCTCCAACTGTTGCATATGCAGGTGGAGAGAGAGAAATAAAAAAAATCTAACATGTTAATGACATTTCCAATCTTTTAAAGAGCGAAATGACATTTCGAATCTTTTAAAGAGCGAAAGAGAGAGAAGAAGGGCATTTTAGTTTCATTTTTGTTGATTTTTTTTACTGAAGGTAAAAACAACAAAAAAACAGTGTGTGGATTGTGGTTGTGATAAAGTATTAAGAGAGGATATCTACAAAGTTCATTTTGGCGAATCTATTATTTTCCTTAAAATATAAGAGGAATGCCACCAGTAAAAGGGGGCATTATTTGTATTGAAATGAATAGATCTAGGAGAGAATGAAAAGTATATAATAGTGTGAAAATGAATAGATCCAGAGAGAAAAAGGAAAAATATACATAGATAATTTGTATATAAAATTACAGGTTTTGTAAAAAGATAATGTAAAAAACGAAAAATAAAAATAAAAGTTGAAAGCAAATCCAAGTTTTACAAACAGGTCAGTCAAACAGTGAAAATATATTTCCAAAGTGTTTCATACGGGCTGGACCACCTTTCTACATATGCTGTCTAGAAGTATAAAGCATCCATCTTGAAGATAGATGAAAATATGTAGTCCATCTAATCACAATTGAAACTAACGGTCCAAATGTTTTTCTAATAGAATTATTATTTTTAATTTTTAAAATTTATTTATTTTTTATTTTCATGATCTCCATATTAAAGATTGCGTATCTTTAAAATTAAATCCAAAAATCTATCTTAAAAATAAATATAATATGGGTCATATTTCTACGCGGGCTTGGCCCGCATGCCAACCGCGTCCATTTATTTTTGCCGCTAGTGGGGAATACACACACTTGCCACTAAGTTACTGAAATTTGTCCACTACTGAATTAAATTGGGTCAGAGGGGTTCCAGGTGTAACGAACGAGAAAGAGCTTTAAAGCCATACTCGCTTTTAACCAACCATTAAAACGAGTGATATGGATTGAAACATGTCGATCTCAATCCGGAACTGGACTAGTTTAATTCCTACAAAATATCGGGAATTAGTCGCTACAAATTGACTGGTTCTCTCATAGAACCCGCTATAACCGGTCCTATCTTCTTTTTTTTAAAAAAAAAAAATATTATTCTCAATTTTTTTTTATTGGCAAGTTCACTTGGATGGATCACCAATCCAGACCGTCCATCCTGTTTTATGAATGGACAATACGGGTCAGCTGTCCAGTTTTGTAAACCTTACTTCTAACTATCAACGTGAAATCAGGTGGTGGTATGCCACTATTGAAAATTTGAAGCAAACACAACTCATCGGTGGGACCATAAATCCGACTGCCATAGGTGTTTGTAAACTTTGTGTATAAAAAATAAAGGGAAAAGTTTGTATAGAGCTTAGGGTCTAAACTATCAAATTAGAACCTATCAAAAACTTTTATTAGAAAAGGTTGTTTTGATGCTCAAATATCTTCAAATTGATCATATCAACATCAAGATGCATAAACAAGAGAAAAAAATAGATTTCACGTTTTGAAAATAGTGTATTTTGCAACTCATTTTTGGACGGTCAAATGTCAAGATTTATAAGTTTTCATAGATATGTCGATATATACTATTTTTTTATCTTTAAATTTTATAAATAAATATAAAAATATATTTTAAGGCTATCAAAAATTTATAATCTTTAAATTTTATAAATAAATACAAAGAATATTTTACGGCTATCACAAAGTCGAAACCATATTTTTTATCACTTATTTGTAGGTAGGCTCTAATTTGATTGTTTAGAGCGAAGGCTGTATACAAACCGCACAAAAAGTAAAAAGAGATAACAGACGACGTACCTGATGGGCCCGCAATTCCATACTTTTTCCCCAAACCAGTTTTCCACGGTATTGCGACGCGCTGACGAGGCCACCCAAAAAACAGCTTCCCACTTCTTCACACCCACCACATAACAAGATAGAGAGAGAGAGAGAGAGAGAGAGTGAACATCTCATTTCCCGGCGCCCCACCGAGGAAAGTAAGGGGAGGGGAGGGGAGGCGAGGCGGGGCAATTAGATAGAGAGAGATGCGCAATAGACTGAGAAGTCTCTTTCTAGAGAGAGAAAGGGACAATAGTGGGGAGAGAAGAGTGATACAGAGAGAAACACTTTGGAGATCTAGAGAGAGAAACACTTTGGAGATCTAGAGAGAGAAAAAGGGAGCAATAGCAAATACACGAAGAGCAATAGAGACAGAGAAAGGGGAAAGAGACTAAACACTGAGAGGGGAAAAAGAAAGGCAGAGAATGGCCTCCGTCGTCTCCTGCTCCTCTGAACCTGTAGTGCGTGCCCTGTGCCGGAGCAGCCCAGAGGCGTTCCGACTCAAAGTCATCGCCATCCCCATCATCCTCATCACCAGCGTCGTTGGTGTCTCCTCTCCGGTTATCCTCGCCCGCCGCCTCAATTCCGACCCCGCATATGCCCGCCTCCTCCTCTGGGTAAAGTGCTTCGCTGCCGGAGTCATCCTCTCGACATCCTTCGTCCATGTGATGCCCGACGCGTTCCAGGCCCTTGCCGACTGCCGCATCGCGACCCACCACCCATGGCGTGACTTCCCCTTTTCCGGCCTCGTCACCATGCTAGGTGCCCTCACGACGCTCCTGGTCGACCTTGCCGCCGCGTCATCGCATGCTGGCCACGGCACGCACTATGTCCCTCTCGAGAAAGAGAACTCAGCTGCAACGATGAACACAACTGGTGTTGCAGAGTTGGGTTCAGTCAAGGTGGGTTGCTGTGACAGGGAGGAGGAGGAGGAGGAGGGGGAGGCGGAGGTGGTGGGGAGGGGGAAGGAGAGCGTGGTGGCAAAGGTGTTGGAGGTGGGGATCGTCTTCCATTCAGTGATCATCGGGGCGACGCTCGGGATGTCGCAGGATCAGTGCACCATAAGGCCGCTCGTGGCGGCTCTTGCATTCCATCAGATCTTCGAAGGGATGGGCCTGGGCGGCTGCATCGCACAGGTTAGAGAGGGAGAGAGATGATCCTTACTGCGCATAGAGAGAGAATTAGATAGAGAGAGAAGGCTGAACCTTAGCCAAGTGATTTGGGTCAGTGTTCGAAAAATTGAACCGGCCTCGGATACCGGCAAATGGCCGGCGTTCGAAAAACCGAACCGGTCTCGACACTGGCAAATGGCCGGTTCCCAGTAACAGGTAAACCAACCGTGCGGGTCCGGTTGGTCCAAAAAGGTTAAAAAATAAAAACTACAAATAAGATATAAAGAGTAAATTTAAAGCGTGATTAAACAAATCACCTCCAAATTGAAAATTAGTGAAAAAAAATGGATTTTAAAAAATCTCATTTGGAAGTTGAAAATTAGTGGAAAAAATATATTTTAAAACAACATTTCCGATATCTTTGATTCTACATTTTAAGGATGCAACCTTATATAAACTTTTCCCTTTCTAAAATACCCCGCCAGAATGGCTAGTGATTCCAGTTTGACTTGCCAGTTTGGGTTTCAGTTCTAAACAGTTAACAATTCCAACACTAACCCTTTAGAGGGACAGAGAGAGAGAGAGAGGCAGAGTTCTCTTAAAATTGATAACCATTTTTTTGTTGTTTCAGGCTGGTTTTAGTGGGAAGACAATGGCATTGATGTGCATGATGTTCTCCATCACAACCCCCGCAGGGATCATACTGGGGATGCTGGTCTATTTCTTGACTGGATATGATGACAACAACCCAAAAGCTCTGATCATGGAGGGAATCTTGGGATCGTTCTCTTCAGGGATTTTGGTGTACATGGCTTTAGTTGATTTAATTGCGGTGGATTTCTTTCAAAACAAGAGCATCAAATCTTCCTCCAAGATGAAAATGGCCTCATATATTGCCCTGGTCTTAGGATCTGCATCCATGTCATTGCTTGCAATTTGGGCTTGAAACTCAATAAACCCCCTCTCAAAACTCCATTGTAAATGGGTTCACAAATTAGAGATAGAAATTTGAGTTTTATAGTGACCCAATTGGATAGCAATAATGTTTAACTGTTGTTACTTGAGAGAGTAGTGTACAAGACTGCAAGTTTTAATCCGATGAATTAGTTTTTGAATGTTGACATATGAAAAATTGAAGAGTAGAGAGCCGTCTTCAATCTTTTTGCATTGTTTTGAGGGAAGATTATAGATAACCCAGAATTTGTGCTTTCTAGGTGTGTTTCCCAGCATCTTTTAATCCTAACACTATTTTACTTTGCAGCCACCCTTTAACTAAAGGAATTAATTTCTTTAAACTAAAATGACTCTATTTTAACGCATGTTTCTAAAACATGACGTCCAACATTTATCGGTTAGCCACAAAAATGTGTCGGACGGGTTTGGACTATTCATTGGTCAGTCACAAAAATATGTCGGATTAGCTTGTGCTATGTATAAGTCAACCACAAAAATGAGTCGGAACGTTGTCCGTCCAACGCATTTTTTGTGAGACCGCCTTTTGACAAAAAGTACCAGTCCAACATAATATGTGCCTAACAAATTTTAACAGTCTGGCCTAAAATGTGTCATGTCAGACCAAGCTTATTTTAAAATTCTACTCTTCCACTACAAAATGTGCCATACCGGCTTCTATATTTGCATTGTGTGGTGGGTCCGGTGACATACTGACTTAAAGAAAGTAGTAATTATGGTTTAAAAATAGATCATTTTCATCCAAAAAAAATTGATTTTTTTTACTCATTGTATAAAAATATAATATTAAAGTTAATAATATGATGTCAAATTTTTTTACTAGAAGGCATATATGCCTATGAATTACTGTTTCGGGGGTATCTATAATTTTCTCTTGTTTTGACGATGGAGTACAAAAACTTTTAAGAGGAGAGGATGTTGTTGTTGTTTCTTATTGGGATTGAAAGTGGTTTTTGCTTTATTAGCAAAGAGAAGCGTGGAATTCCACAGTTGTAGTAAGTGTCATTTGATTGCGTGGAATTCCACATTCGTAAGTTTGTTGGAAATTGTCATGGATTTCGTGCGAAGTGGGGTAGAACCGCGGGACTTTGAAGAATTGTTTGTTTTTTGTGCATGTGAGTGAAAAGACGTGGCGCAATAAGGTCCATTAAACAGGCCTTCCTTTCAAAAAAAAAAGGACACGTCAAGAAGTCACGTGAAATGTAAAACATGGTAATGGAAAAGAGTTTATCTGGTAAAATAAAGTCACGTGAAATGTGACAAATGTTAAGAGCAATGGTTTATAAAGCGGATCGGTGACCGGGATCGGGCATCTCAAAAATCGATCCGGATCGGTGAATCGGTCATTCGGATCGATAATCGGGTGAATAAGTTAGATTAAAGTTTCAAAAAAATCAAAAAAAATTATTAAAATTCATAATAAATATTGTTTTTTAGGAGTTCCATAAAAAATGAGGGTACTTTATTAAGAATTTTCATTTCTTTGCATGAATATGCGAATATTGATATGTTCTTTCGCTGCATGAACTACTATTTAGCATTTAATTTACGTCACACAAAAGGATAAACATAGAATTATCATGGAATAAGTATATCAACATACATGAACGACAATAAAGCATACAATTAGTAACATATGATCTAAAAATAAAATGACTGACGACGATGTTCTTTTTCTTGGTCACGCTGGTGCCATTGATTGAATTCGTTTGACAATTCATTGATTCGATCTAAAAACGAATCATCGATATTAGCAGGCATCTGACTATATCCAAATCCCTGAGTATTAGTGTTCTGTTGTGTTCCCAATCCAAAATCCCCGAAGCTTGTTCATCCTTCACTCACTTACACTGTCGTGCTCATCCCTACCCTGTTGCAATTTTTTCAACAAAAACTTTAATAATAAAAATTAAAAATATGGTTTAATACCTCATGATAATCAAAACCTGATCACTATTTTCACATCTTTTCGAAAATCACGATTTTTTTAAAAAACTCGATCATGTACTAAAAAAAAAACAAATAACACAAAGCCACCTAACATCAGTCATTCCAACACAAAAATGCATTAACAACAAATTAAAAAAATACAATTTTGCACTAAAACTATAATAACATGCATTTTTTTGCATAAATAATCTATCAACAGACAATTTTTTCAACATAAACTTTAACAATAAAAATTAAAAATATGGTTTAATACCTCATGATAATCAAAACCTTGTCACGATTTTCACATCTTTTCGGAAAATCATCATTTTTCAAAAAATTTGATCATGGATAAAAATAAAAAAAAATAAAAAAGTACAACAAATTTTCAAAAAATTCGATCATAGATTACAAAAAAAAAACCACAAATTTTCAAAAAATTCGATCATGGATTACTAAAAATTGAATCATGGATTACAAAAAATTCGATCATGGATTACAAAAAATTCGATCATGGATTACAAAAAAAAAAAAGAACATATTTTCAAAAATTCGATCATGGATTACAAAAAAAAAAAACAATAAATTCAATCATGGATTACAAAAAAAAAAAAATTCAAAAATTCTATCATGGATTACAAAAAAAAAAGAACAAAAAATTCGATCATGGATTACCAAAAAAAAACAATTCAATCATGGATTACAAAAAATTCGATCATGGATTACAAAAAAAAAAAGAACAAAAAATTCGATCATGGATTACAAAAACAAAAAAAAAAAATCTGTTCTTCACAGAGCCACCTTACATCAGCCATTTTAACTCAAAAATCCACCTCCAAGCGAATAAATTACATCCAATTGAGTACAGTTTTTTATAAACAACAATATAAGGAATCAAAACCCTAAATTATGAACACATTATCATCAATAAATCAAATCAAATCGATTAAATTGAGGAAAAAAAAAAAAACACAGTTCTTCACAGACAACAGTCATTGAATCTAAAAAATGAAGCTCAAATTGAATAAATCATGTCAAATTGAATACATCTGATTATAAACAAGACTATAAGGATTAAAAACCCTAGAAATCTAACACATTATTTGTAATATATCGTGAACAAAAAATCAAAAGGCGGAAAAAAAAAAAAAAAAAAAAAAACAAGCAGAATTTTTTTTTTCACAAACATCACTGTGTTCATCTAAAAAATCAGGCTGTAATTGAGCAAATTAAATTAAATTAAATATGTTAGATGATAAAATACACAATAAAAATTAAAAACCCTACGAATGTAACTCATTATTTTCAAAATATGCAGTGAAATTGATCATATAGCGGAAAAAAAAAAAACCCAAAGTTTTTACCTGGTTTCGTGAATCCGAGCCTTCAATCTCCAAATTACTCTGTTTTTCTCAACGATTATCACAAATTCGTAACATAATTTTTTGATGAACAACTTTACGATCAAAATGGCTACAAATTTTCACAGATTCATGCCCTATTTGGCATGAAACACAAGGAAAGGCGGAAACCCTAAAAACGAAACTTTCATGATCCAAAAACACAACATTTCTCTACCATTTAATCCATGAAAAGGTTGAAAAAAGCTACATAAAGCCTGCATATTCGATCAGATGGGAAAAAAAACAAGAAAAATGATAAAAAAAAATGACAAATTTTGAAGAATCCTGTGAAGAACACTGTGCAGCCCGTGTTCTTCACGGGACTCGCTGATTCCGTACAGTGAATCGGTGAGGCACTGTACAGAATCGCCTGATTCTCTCTGGAACCGGGCGATTCCGTGTAATTTGCCCGAATCGGCATGTCCAGTGCCGATTCCTGAGTCGAACCGGAGCGAGTCCGGTTCGACTTGGCGTTTTTTAAATCACTGGTTAAGAGCAATGGTTTAAAAAGCGAATCGGTGACTCGGATCGGGCACTTCAAAAACCGATTCGGATCGGTGAATCGGCGAGTTAGATCTGGAATAGGCTGAATCGGTCAGATTAAAGCTTCAAAAACATTGGAAACAAATATTAAAATTCATTATAAATATTGCTTTTTAAGGATCCAATAAAAAATAAGGGTACTACATTATTAACTTTCATTGTTGTCATCAATTTATGAATATTGAGATGTTCTTTCCATGTATAAACTTATATTGACCATTAAATTTACATCACACAAAATAAATCATAGAATTATCATGGATTAAGTATATAATCATATATGGACAACAATAAAGAGTTGATTAAGTCGATGAAAAATTGGCCTCTAAAATCTTGAATTGGCGAAAAACCCTAATCCGCTAAAAAAAACCAAATTATTACAACCTAACTAACTATAATATTATATATCAACAATATTTTATAATTATTTTATTATGTAAATAATAACAAATCCAAAATATTTTATAATATCATCTAATTTAAAATGTATTATTGACAAATGTAAGAAAAATAGTACACTACATTATTTATAATACAAAAATTAATAAACAAAATAAAAGATTTGTTTATCAATATAGAAATTATTAGAATACGTACCAAATTTATTTAATTTTTTAGGTTTCTAGAATAAATTAGTGGAAGAGATTGTTAGTAGAAAGAAAGCGATTTCAAATGGCCTCATTGTATGAATCCTATCTTTAAATTAATATTACTAAATTTATGTTAAAGACCATCAAGTTATAAAAATAAAAAATATAAGTAGACCATTTATTCGTAGGTTGTATTAAGAAATACCTTTTATTTTTTTGACAAGAAATACTTATTGTGTTATCTTTTTTTTTTTTTAACAAGAAAAATATGATACTTGTTGATTATCTTTTTTTTTTTTTTGACAAAAGAAGATGATGTTGTACTACATTTTTTTTTGCTTGTTGCATTACTTTTTTTTTTTTTATCCTATGAGCTAGTACTAATTTTTTAATCTTAATTAAATAATTAATTAATTATTACTCATATAATGAAATAATACCATGATATAAAAGCATAATAGAGTTTTTATGTTTTTTTGGTAAGTAAATTTAAATTTTTTTGGTGAAAGATAGGGGTGATGGGCACCTAATTACTATTTTTAATAATTTTTTTCTTTTTTTATCATCAAATTTCATTGCCACAATCGGACATACAACTTTCTTATTCGTGACGGGCGTACACCGTTATACGTACACCATCGTGCGTACACCATCTCACTGCAATTTATCCCAAGCTAATAATATTTGCCAGCGTTTTTTCAACTC